TATCTCTTGTAATCTCCTATTTAAGGAGCTGATAATATTCAATAAAGGCATCGAAAATTTCAGTCAAGAAAGAGCAAAGGAGAGTTGGTGATCTCTTGAACAAATCACCACTAAGGCGCCAAGATAGGTTCCTCAAGAAAAGGGTGGAATAAGGGAAAACAGGAGGTTTTCCCCGTGGACCGACCCGTGACGAGATCCTATTCTCGGGTCCTTAACACATCCATACCATGATCATAGTTGATGATGCTTAGAGTCTGATTTTGAAGGTTAGTGTAGAGTTGTAGGGCAATAATAGCTTTATTTATGATGCTGTTAGCATTCTACTTGTTAGCTGTTAGCATGTTAGTTGTTTATGTTTTTTCTTTAGTTGCTGATAAGTTATGTTAGTAGGGGCAATATTGTAAGTTTGCTATTTTAAAATCTTAAATATAAATAGCTGAGTGGGGCGGCAATGTGTAAGTCAACCCACACTCTTTTCTGAATTCTTTTTCTCTTCGACTTCTTCCTCTTCTATTGTCTGTTTTTCTTGTTGAATTCTCATCTAGAGTAGGACTGATCACAGTCTCTACTAGACAAGTGTTAGAAAACACCAGATTACTGATTACCTTTATTTAAAGGATAATAGTGATTGAGGATTGTCGAACTCATAACAGAAAGGCTAAAGGAGCTGGGAATTTTGATGCCACCACACTAGTTATGATCTACTCCATGAGGAGACCTAACTGTGGAATCAGACATGGACAATTTTGGTTTCCTGCCACAAAATACTAGATTTAAATGGTTTTAGGTGTTGTCGATGTGATCATCAATCAAGTAAATATCCTACTAGCCTGTAAAGTTATTATTATTATCATTTTTTTGTAAATAGAGCTTGTAAAATTATTAAGTATCTTCATATAACAAGCTGATTAAATTCTGAGGATGTAAACTATGATAGATAGAGAGAGAAGGATTATCATAAAGATGATAAGCATTATAAAACTCAAAACTTACAAAGTAGAAACCTAAAACTAATGGATTTATTTCAGAGAACTCCTAGTAGCAAAAACAAGGAACAAGAAAATCTGATAATGAAATTGACAACCTTGAGAACATCATCAATTTTAGCACCAGGAGCATGGCAAGCTGCTCGTAACTTCTTTTCCATGCCTTGTATGGTGTCTGAACATCTCAAATCTGCCTCCATATAAGCATTCCTCTTGTAGTCCTGAATCAATTACCAGTCCATATCAACAGCACCATAAGTCCAATATGTATTAAGAACTAGATATAAGTAAGGGTGTTTATTTAGCTTAATGATCTGAAAATATCAGTATAGAGAAATGTAATTCAGACTATGTTCCATTATTGGGAAGACAACTGAAACCACAGTACTACTAACCCATTTATTGGGAAGTCAACCAGTTAAAATTGCACAAGCAGTTGATAAATTCAACAAAAGAAAAATAAAAGAGAATGATATCTGTTCATTTTGAGCAGAAAACCTTCACAGATCCATCAACCACAAACAATATATGGGTATGGGTCTTCAAATACAAATTGATTGTTTATCCATAAAAAGCTTCCAATGTGAATTCCCAACAATATGTTTGGTTGCAAAGAAAATGGAAGAAAGGAAAAGAGTATCTAAAAGAAAGTGACTTTCCTTTGACTGATGAGAGAAACCAAAATAGAGAGAAAAGTTATGATGAACCAGGAAGGTAAATTTTCTATTTGATCTCTTTTATTTTTCTCTTCTAAAAAGGTAGACAAACAAAATAAAAATGGAGGGTGAGATAAAGCAAAAGTGGTCCTACGAGCATAGTTTCCAAGGTGCCAAGGTGAGGCTAGGCAACAGGGAGTGCCTTGTTGCCTAGGTACTTAGGTATCTAACTAGATTTAGCCTAGGCAATGGTTTAAAAAAAACCATAAATCCTGGGGTAATTCTCTAGGCTCCATAGCAGTCACCAACCATCACTCACTAGTAATTATCAATAATCTTCATCAGAAGAGTATAAGCATCAAATTAAAATATAGAAAAAACAACATATTCATAAGAAAAAGAAAAAAAGAAAAATAAGAAGGCTATAGGGTGGAAGAAGTATGTATTGATTAGATAAAATTTTAAGCTCTCCCTAAATTATTGGTTCAGATTTTGAAGTCTTCAAGGATTCAAGACAGCATACCCTAGCATGTTAATAAACCCACAAAAAAGAGTAATTTAGTGTCACAATGCCTATTTTATTATTATAATCTTAGAATAATATGAAGGCTATTGTCCAAAAAGCTAGGAACTTAGGTGAGGCAACCCTCCAAGGGCATTGTTATGTGCCCTAGGAGAACTCAACCCTAAAAGCTAGTTGTTAGAGGGAGGGAACCCAAGCACATATATACCCCACAACAGCATCCCATACTACCGATGTGGGATACCTTACATTAGCATCCCATACTACCAACGTGGGACAAATGGATCGTAACATTCCACCACGCTCTGCAGTCCCGGCACCCATGCAGGCTGGCTTTGCACTAGTCCGCCTAGTCCCAGCCAAACACTGCAATACCAACATCACCACTTGCACTGCAAGATTGCAAGTGGGAAGCATAGTATAGACTCTGATACCATTTGTTATGTGCCTTGGGAGAACTCACCCCTAAAATCTGTCAACACTCTCGGCTGAATAGAGAAAAGAACAAGAATAATTTTAGGAATGTCAAGAATGAATTGACCCCCACCTCAAGGAGTCTCTTATATATTAAAAGATATGTACAAATACAAGAATGCCCACATAGGGCTGAAAGAGAAAAAAGAATAAGATACATAAGTAATATACAACAGGGATTATACTAATAAGATACATCAAGTCACAGAGTCTCCACATCAGTTTATTTATAAGAAAGAGATATTGAACTCTTTATTCATAAAAAAAAAAAAGAGATATCGAACTCTAGTCATAGCTTTGGTGAAGATATTGGCAATCTGCATGCCCGAGGCTACATGAGGAAACGATATAGACCCAACAGTGAAAAGATCTCGGATAAAGTGGCAGTCCACCTCGATGTGCTTGGTCCTCTCATGGAAGACAGGGTTAGATTTAATCTTAATAGCACTCGTATTGTTTGCATAGAGAGGAATAGTAGGAAGTTGAATGTCAAGATCCATAAAAAGAGATCGTAACCAAACAATCTCACTGCAAATAGAAGACTTGGAGCTAGTGTCAGGACAACCAACCCAATCTGCATCAGCATATGCTCTCAACTAAATAGGAGAGAAGGAGAAGAACAGCCCCTAAGAAGTTGTATCGAATGGTGCGATGAATAGCAGTCATATGAGGCTGACGAGGGGCAGAAACAAATTGACCATAGTTGACAAGGCGACGCCTAGGCATGTAGGGGCTTTTTGGGTATCGCCTCGCCCAAACGCCATATGATGTATCTATAACATGTTGTAATTTTTTCATATTTAATGTTTTTATATTTTAAATCTATAATATAAATATAGACATGATGCACCGAATCATTATTTTATTTCTTTAATATTATAATAATTTTTTTATTAATTTCGTATCTTTTTAAGGTTTATGATAGATATGATATTCAAAGACGATTTATGAGAGATATAGATATGATATTCGAAGACGATTCCGGATATATCCTCGTCAAGTTCCAAGTTGTATGTCTTTGAAGAAGAAAGGCAAATCGATCTCAGAAGGTATGCTTTCTGTTCTTCTTCTTCTTGAACAAAAAAGAGGGGCTCTGCCCCTTCTTCTTTTCTTGTTTTGGAACAAAAGCAGGGGCTCCACCCCTAAGGGCTCCGCCCCTTCTTCTTTTCTTGTTTTGGAACAAAAGTAGGGGCTCTGCCCCTTCTTCTGTTGATGCTGGAATAAAAAACAGGGGTTCTGCCCCTTCCTTTTCTTTTTTTTGGAACAAAACTTCTTCTTTCCTCCTCCTCTCTTCTTCTTCTAGAACAAAAAATAGGGGTTTGTTTCTTTTTCTAGAAGATAGGGGCTCTGTCCTTATGTATTTTTATTTCAACAGCAAAAATTGGGGTTCATCCCATTTTTATTTTATTTTTCGTTTAGACATTAAGCAACACCTAGGTGCCCGCCTAGGCGACCAGGCGACCAAGCGCTCCCCTGTCGCCTAGGTTTGCCTTGGCGCCTTGAAAACTATGAAATTGACTAACAACCTGAACAGCATGAGAAATATCAAGCCAAGTCATAGTGAGATAAATGAGGAACCCCACAAGCTGGCGATACAAGGCAACATTGGGAAGTAATGGACCTTCAGATTTAGATAGCTTAAGATTTAGCTCCATAGGTGTATGTATATCAACATGCTTCTCATCATTAAGACTAGCAAGTTTAACAAGGTCAGAGGCATATTTCTGCTGACAAACAAAATACCCTCGACCACTAAGATGAACTTCCAGTCCCAGGAAATAGGTGAGAGGGCCCAAGTCCTTCATGTGAAAGGAATTATGAAGTAACAATTTCAATTCACGAATACCCTTAGCATCATTCCCACTTCCTAGTCAACATGTCATCAACATACAGCAAGAGAATGGTAATACCTTGAGGCCATCGCCTAACAAAGAGAGAGTGAACAGAAGAACTCTGACTATATATCCAGCAACAACTACAACATCTCAAAAGCGTTCAAACCATGCCCAGGGAGCTTGTTTTAGACAATATAGAGATTTTTTGAGGCGACATACTAAGGTAGAATCACTACAGTATCTAGGAGGAGGCTTCATGTAGACCGTCTCCTTCAACTGACCATGAAAAAAGGCATTCTTCACATCAAACTGGCATATGGTCCAAGATTGAGTGGCAAACAATGCTAAAAGAACACGGACTGTGGTGATCTTTGCAACAGAAGCAAAGGTTTCTTCATAGTCGATAACGTACTCCTGACTATATCCCTGGGCAACTAAGCGTGGTGATTCATCAGATTTCAGCTTAATGTTGTAAACCCAACAACTCCCAACAATGGAGGCATCTGGAGGAGCAAGCACAAGGTCCCAAGTGTCATTCTCATGTAAAGCATGAATCTCTGCATCCATGGATTCCTTCTAACGAGGGCTACTACTGGCTTCCTTAGTGATTTAAAAGGTGTGCCTAGGTGCACAGGCGGGGCGCATTTTAGGGTATGTGCCACGCCCAGGTCCTAGGTGCACCCCTTTCAAAAGGCGCACACCTGGTGCGCCCGATGTGCCTTGCGCCTCAGCCCAAGCATGCGCCTTTTTAAAATTTTGCGCTTTTTGTTGTTTTTTGAGTCTTTTGCTAATGTTGTTCTTTCACTCTTTGCAATAAAATATCTTCTTAAAAGGCAATGAAAGTTATACAATCATTATTTTTTATGCGAGAAATAAGAATTTCAGACCCTAACATACACTTGTTCGAGCCTACCTTGAAGGGTGTGGTACAAAAGAAACCCATAGAATCAAGAATGCAATCTGTTTTACATCACATTAGCTACTTGAAACAATGCAATTTAAGAAAAAAAAAAAAGAGAGATTATGGGTTCCACATGCTTGAAAATGCTTTATATGTTTGCTTTTATTTTTAAATTTTCATTTGAATATGCTTTACATGTTATGTTTATGTATTTTAATTTTAGATAAAAGGTTTTTAAAACATTTATTTTTAAACTTAAGTTTATATTTTTTATTAACATTATGTTTAATATTTTTATGAATTTTTTGCATTTTTTATTTTCTGACTTTTTATCTTTTAGCTTTTTCCGTAATTTTGCACCTTACGCCTCAGACGCAAATTGGCCCTTGTGCTTTTTTTGCGCCTTGCGCTTTTGAAACACTGGCTTCCTAGTAGGAGTGAGGAATATTTGTGCAAGATAGGGCAACAGACCAAGAGCTATGGTTTAAGGGAAAACCATAGCAGTCAGAAGGTCTAGGTATACGAGTAAAACAACAAAGAAGAACATACGTATCTGAAATAGATGTATCACTTACAGGAGCAATGGTAAGATGATCTGAACCAGGAGGAAGGAGAGTTGTAGGCACAACGGTTGGAGCACATAACCGCTTGCGAGAAGACGAGAAGAACATTCTTAGCAGGAGGCGGAGCATCTTGTGAATCAAAGTTTGGCAAAACATTAACAAATAGTGCATACAATCTAGTAATTCCGACAAAAAAGGAATTGTGCTCAAGGAAAACAACATTACGTGATATAGGAATGCGACAAATAGAGTGATAAGTCTGGAGAATGACCAAACAACTTCTGAAAGGGAGACATATTACCAAGAACAGAGGAAGGAATATAGTTGATCAAAAACACAGTTGTACTGGCTGCCTCTACCCAAAAAGAAGGTGGAGCATAGGACTCCTATAATAATGTCCTCACAACACTAAGGATATGTCCATTCTTGCGCTCGGACACACCATTCTACTAAGGAGTATCTGGACAAATTCGTTGCACTTGTATTCCATGATTCTTCAAATAGGATAAAAAATCTCCATCAGTGTATTCTCCCCCTAAATTCAAACGGAAAATGTGCACGTGTGATTAAAACCAAACCCACACCATAGCATGGAATAGCTTAAATGTTGGGAACACCTCAGACTTGTGGCGAAGAAAGTATATCCATGTGTACCTAGTACAATCATCAATGAACGAGACAATATTTGTATCCAAGCTGAGAAGAAACAAAAGCAGTCCAGACATCACTATGTATAAGCTTGAAGGGAGAGGTAGCATGCTCAAATATTTGAGGAAATGGTAAGGTATGACTCTTACTTAAGCAACAAGAAACGCAAGATGTATCAAAGGTGTGCAAGGAAGGAACTTTATTCTTAATAAGGCTTGAATCAAACAAAAATTTTAATTTTTCAGAATGTAAATGGCCCAAACGTTTATGCCATAAACGTTTTATGTGCAGTCCGGTTCTCTGAACATTGACAAAAACCAAAGTCCCAATTCAGCCCCAAAGGAGTATCAGGAGAAGTGAGGAACTTTGAGACAACGTCTATTTTATACAAGCAAACAAAGTACAAAGTGGGGAAGACATCCCTAAGAGCAAAGTTACCAACACATATCCTCCCAAAAATAAATAAAGTTTCTAGAACAAACATCATACCTGCAAAACCTTAGAAATTGAGGAAGCAAGCCATGGATTGCCACCACCTCATGTCACAAACTGTCCCCGTCTAGAGAGCATCTCCACAACCACTTTCCTAACAAAGCTGCATTCTTGTGGACCACATTACCTAATCCCAAACCACTCTCCTCATTACTCTTACACAAACATCTCCCATTTGATTAAATGATCTTTTTTACTTTCCCCCAGCTCCCACAAAAAAAATCCCTCATGACTTAGTCTAGCTTCTTTGCTTCCCTAGGAGGGATTCTAAAGATGGAAAGGAAAATAAACTAGAAAATTAGCAAGGGTAGCTCTTATCAAAACAATTCTACCTCCCAAAGAGATATAATTCTCTTAACAAGCATCCAATCTCTTTTCAGTCTTTTCCAAAATTGGATTCCAAAATCTACTCTCTTTAAGGTTAGCTCCTGGGAGAAAACATAAGTACGTTAACGGCCAAGAGGTAGTAGAGCATTCTAGACAAGCTGCTAAAGACTCTATTAGCCTCTCTTCCAAATTGACACATGCAATGCAACTCTTTACAAGATCGATTTTCAGGTTAGAGATCCTTTCAAAATACTGTCCAACATAAATGCTCCAGGTTAAAGAATCCAGATAGTATGCTATGTGCCATGCTACCATGTCCACTAATACACAAGTTAATCCTTTTTTAATATAACACCTAATGGCAGGGCTGGACTGCAAAAAAAAGATATAAGTCCACTAAAGTTTTGATGGATCACCTATTGCCAAAACTCAGAAACCTAGGTAATGGAAAATGCAAGCAAATGTGAAATTAGAATACTTTTAAGTATTATAGCCAATTATATAGCACCACCAGGTGTTAATTAAAAAGAATACTTTATGAAGATTAAATTTGTAAAGATACCATCTACAACTCAATATTTTCAAATTTCAAATGTTGGTTTGCTTCAAGTGACACAGGCCATTGCTTGGTGCAACGGTAAATCTCAATCTGAAAAGCATGAGAACATGGGTTTGAATCAGAGAAGTCACATTGTGTAAATATAGGCCAAAGGTTAGTTCCATATCCAAGTCTACCCCACCCAAGCATGGTTTAAAATGTCCCTAATTTCCCTAATATTTCCACAACATATTTCCATTTCCTAGGTTACTGACATGAAATTTTACAGAAATCAACATATTTCCCAATGAACACTACCAACACTATGTGGAGCAGTGTTCTCAAGCCGCCATTGACCCAGACGGTCGGAACATTCGGCCTAGGAACCATGCAGGCAACCAGTTCCATTTTACCTCAAACCCAGTCCTTGGCCAAAAACTATTGAATTGGTTAAGAACCCGCTAACCCAGGTGGTCGAACTGTCAACCTGTTCAATCCATTCAACGGTTTTTGTCTGTTTTTATTTTAATTTTTTTTATTTTTTAGTTGGAACAGGCTGTCCATTTGAACCGTACAGTCAAACCGTCATCCCGGAAACCAGTGGCCAGAAGAGTTCCAATTCCGGGTCGTTTTTTAAAATCTTGATGTAGAGTATAAGAGATAGCTTCGAAGACATATTTCTATCTCTATTTCCATGGGTAGCAACATATAATTTTATTGGAATTGACATATTCCCTAATGAACACTACCGGCAATATGTGGAGTAGAAGAAATAGTATTATAACATAAGTTAGAGACAATATTATAGATATGTGGAGTAACAATGTCAATGTCTGCCTAACTTAGATGATTACCACTTTGATCTAGCTCATATTCATTTTAAACATGAAACATGAAGTTAAATGTTAGTTTTTGTTTTGTAGTAGATAACCATTTACTTTTTCTATGAGTTCAAATTTTGCTTTAATTCTTTCTATCATGAAACTTTGAATCTTAAGGTTTACAGGACAACTTCAACACGTATCCTTTTGTCTTTACCTTTAGTTTCTTATCTTTGTTTTTATGATTTCAAACAAGATAATAATTTAAAAGGGTGTGTCTATGCTTCTTTTATCATTTTATAAAATATCAATTCTATGTTTTTGCATATTTTTCAATGTTTCCACCATGCCTATAAATTTTACAATATTTTGACATATCCAACATGTTTCCTATATTTGGATGACCGACATTTCCACCGACATCGACATTTTAAACCTTCTGCCTAAGACCTTGGATAGTCGAGACTATAATAGGGTAATCGCCCTTTGTTTGCTTCAATCAAATATTATTTAACTTATTTGGTTGCAGCCATCTCTTTTGGCAAATAATGGGATAATATCTAACTATTCATGAACAAGAAAATTATATTCACAATGTCAACACTCTTGTCTGAATAGAGAGAAGAACAAGAATAATCTTAGAGGTGTCAAGAATGAATGACCCCCACCTCAAAGAGTATCTTATATATTAAAAGATATGTACAATTACAAGAATGCCCATATAGGGCTGAAAGAGAAAAGAAGAATAAGTATAAGTAATGTACAACAAGGACTATACTAATAAGATACATCAAGTTATAGAGTCTCCACACACAATAAGTGCAACAACTACAAAGACCAAGAAAGACTTGAGGCACAACCAAAATAACAAATACGCCAAAAACTAGGAACCAATATTTGAACCTCAGCTGGGTTTCATGAGCAGATTCCATGAATACAACTTTAACATAAAGTTTTTTATGAACTACTTTCTAACACCACTGAGAATAGAACAGTAAAGGTGAATATATTGTACAAAAAGAACTGATCAAAAAAATATATTGTACAAAAAGTTAAAATTACCCAAACTTTAGCAGCCCAAAGTTTCTATGAAACCTCTAGCATACATAGTTTGTAGGAAAAGAAGCTATCTGGTTACTAAAGATCTTGGAGTACCTATACTAATATCCTAAAACAGAATTAATTATCACCTCGAAAGCCCTCTTGAAGAAGTTCTGAAGAAGTTTTTCATACTTTTGCCTTGCTGAACCAGCCCCCACAGCACTAGCGTTAAATGTGGCAATTGATTTTTGAACTGCCTCCTCATGTGCTTCTCTTAGAGAAACCTTCAATACCAAAACTTAAAAATAAATAAACATAATAAAGAATATCAAGTTGTACACAAGTTGCACTTACCTCTTCAGGAGGCTTTGAACGGTCAAAAGCAGTCATGTAAACTTCACTTGCTGAATCATAAGCTCTCCGACATTCTGCTTCTTCAACACTCTGCAAAGAAGAGTTCCTTAAATACTATGCTTGAATAATCCTTTTATCTAATAAATTAGGTTTCTACACAATCACAACATAGTTTTCAAGGTGCAAGGTAGAACCTTGTCTCCCAGTTGCCTAGGCAATAAGTTTTTTAATGTTAAAAAAAAACATAAATCCTAGAATTGTTCTCTAGGTTTCGTAGCAACCAGTAGTTACCTTTAACTAATAGCGTTGCCAATGATCCTCGTGAAATAAGTATAAATCTCATATAAAAACATAGAAAAGCAACATATTTATGAGAAGAAAATAAAGAATGAATTAATGAAAAGAAAAGAAAAATAACCTAGAAAATATAGGAGCTGAGTCCTTGTTTTTGTCCTAGGAAGAAGAAGAATGTTATCCTAGAAAAAAGAAACAAAAAAAAAGAAACTTAGAAAATAAAAAGGAGAAGGAATGGAGCCATTATTTTTATAGAAAAAAAAAAGAAGAAGAAAAAAGGACCAGAAGAAGAAGAGAAAAAAAAGGAGAAGGGGCAGCAAAAGGAGCCATTTAGCCATTGTTTTTGTTATAGAAAACCTCAGTTGCTCTTTTGTGTTGATTGGACAAAATCTCCAAGTTCTTCCTTACTTATCGATTCAGATTTTGAAGTCTTAAAAGGGTTCAAGACAATGTTCACTGACTTATGTGTCAACTGAATCAAAATGAACTTGATTCGAATCAAACTTGAGCCCGATTGCTCTTACTATTTACTCATTTTCTCCACTAAAAGACAAATCAATAAGTTGTTCAGTACTTCGGTTCGGCAACTTCAGCCTTTATCAAATAGCTCCTTCAAACATTTAAAATCAACAACTTCAGCCTTTAAGGAAGTTGGGAGCTCCTTAATGGATGAAGCTGAAGTTGAGTAGATTACCATGTCCTTGAATATCTTATTATTTACTCACTTTCTCTACTAAAAGACAAATCAATAAGTTGTTCAGTACTTCGGCTCAGCAACTTCAGCCTTTATCAAACAGCTCCTTCAGACATATAAAATCAATAATTTTCATATAGCAAGGATACAAACAAATAAGCAAAGAAACAAATCAATAGTATAACAAATCCAAGCAAACATCAAAATGCAAACAAGCAAATAAGAAAAGAGCACATTGAATCCAAAGTCCAAACAAGTATTGCAGCAAAAATCCAAACAAACAATCTGTAGTTTATATGTTTCTAATGAATAAAAAAACCAAACAAACAAGGAAGTATTCTATGATCTATTAACCTAGTGGTACAAGAATTGGTCAAAGATGGAGTTAACAGGGTAACGATGCATGATGATCAATTTGTCAAATAACAAACTTCCAAACATTGAATGAACCATCCATTGTCAATCCAAAATAAAAGAAAAAAGAAGTCGTCTAATGCAAGTTGAGGCCATGCCATCAGACCATCAAGTGCAAAACAGAAAAGCTCTGTAAGTTTCAGAGCATCACAAGAGCATCTTGACAAACTAAATTGTGAATGGAGGAGAAAGAAAAACAAGAAATCTTGAAACTCATTACTGACCTGCCATGAGGAAGATATTGTAGGCACTGCACCATTATTGAGAGCATCTAGAAAAGATTGAGTGACACCTGCTAGAATGGGGCCTGTCATTATTGTAGCACCTACTTGCTTGGGCCTGGTTCTCTCAAAAACAAACCTAGTCAATGCATCCAAACCAGATCTAAATTCTGGCCGTAATTTGTCCAACTGCATACAGCAAGCCAATACCTTAGTTTAGAAAAGAGATAAAAAAGAGCGCTAGTTAACATGAAGTCCCATTTGCAAAAAATTATACAATAAATGCAATGAGAAAGACCACTCACAGGGATCTGATCAAGTCGTTGGAGATCATTTTCATTGTTCAATGGCCGAACAAGGGCGAAACACTCACGATCTGGGAAAAGAGCACGAATGGATTCTCGGATCTATTGATCATTACTTAATAGAATTAGAACTTCCATTTGGACATAAGCAACAAAGCACAGTGCAGAAAAGGCATAGTCAGACCTAAATTTCCTAAGCGCAGTCTGTACCATATGATATGCAAAACTCAATTGTTTAATGGGGGTACCAAAAGCCCAATCTAGGACTCTTTCTTTTAGTTTGATAAATAAAATGTGGATGCATTTGTAAAAATTCATCCACAATTGTAATCATATGAAATAAAACCAGAGAACATGATACCTCATTCCTGGCAGCTACATCTTTTCCACCTCCTTGCATTGGCCTCAAGGCTAACTCTAGGTAATCACGTGGTGTTATTTTTCTATTATCCTCTACTAAATCCAAATAAAAATCCTGTAAGTCACAAGTTAAACAATGTCATCAGCTACCTTGAGAATGCAAAAATTTACTTACCATGACAGAGAGATCAATTGCAGCAAATGATGAAAACCAGAAGTTTGTAGTAACAAGGATGCCATGTTTACATAAAATCTCTAAAAAAAAATTAAGATTAGATCACCCTCAGAAGCCAAACAAAAATTGGCGAGAACTGCCCAAGCTCAGATGCTGTAGTCCTTCCTCCTCCAGAAGCTCTAACACGAATATGTTTGGTCATTTCAGTCACGAGAGAGAGACGATCAAGTGCAGCTTCATCAATACCACCCATCTGAAGTAGGAAAGGGAAACAGACTAGGTAGATGAACCAAGAAATCAACCAAATAAGAAAATAAAGATATTACTTTAAAAGTAGAAACAAATGCAACAAATCATGTAAGGGAGAAAGCAGCCAAAAACAATCAATTTGCAAAAGAAGTCTGAACCTGGTTGTAGATAAACATGCTGGATAAGAGAATGGCCAAGGAAAATATCTGAGTGCTGTATGTTCCCTGTTGAAGAATTGGGAATACAGGAAAACAATTAGATATCAGAACACGGAGTGTAAAAACTAAAAACAAAATAAAACATATCATTCAGTGTATCACAATATTTAATTACTAGAATAGTTTGAGCCTCAAGATCACAAAACAAATCTATAATGAATATGTTGGATATAAGATTTCATGTGATCATTTAAAGTCAAATATTTGGGCATTTCTAAGGGACGAAGACCTTACAATAGACAGAGTCAGAACTAACCGTTTGATCATAAGCATCAATTCCTTCACTGTCAAGAAGTAGGAGACTGTATTCAGTCCCATCAAGTGCAGTTCTCTTTAAAGGTGTGCTCCACATCCAAAGCCCTTTGGTGCATGGTCGGTGGGTCGATGCAACTTGAAACCCAGTACTCCTCCCAAGAAGCTACCGCATATTTAAACAGCATACACACATAAGTTACATAGATACTCTATTTTGGAGATCCAACAATGAAACACTGCTACCGTAACTGATTAAATAATCCAAAAATATAGACCATTTTTAGTGAAGCTGCAGTTCTTTAACCATTAGTGTGATGCATATCAGTCACAAAACATAGTGATTAACCAGATCTAGTGTCATTTGCTGATCATAAGGAATAAATAACTCATTAATGATTAATGCGTCCTGGGATGGAGCCAACATATTTGCATGCAACAAAATGTGGAACTTAACAATTTAGATTAAGCATAATAAGTACATATAGAGAAACATGTTTCTGAACAAATAGGATGTATGAAACAAACTTCAAGAAAGAAAAAGAAAAAGAAAAAAAATGACTGCTTGAAAGCCAAAGCTTGCAACATGATTTAAAATTCACAGGAAATGGTGTCTAAGCTATCTTGAACATCAGACCAAGTTGAACAGGGTTCAAGATTCAACTGATGAGCTGAACACCCAAACCTAACCAACCCAATCAGAATTTTCACCTGAGTTTTTGATTAGCAGCTTAACACAAGTTTACCAACCGGTCCAACCTAGACCTGAACTTCATTGACTTCGACTGGGCTCATGTTGGGTCTGAATCCTTGAATCCCACCAACGAGCAGTCAAATGTGTTATTAGTTATTACTTGTTCGGATTGTCCATCTGCTTGGACAGCTTGACTGAGATTTCAACTCTAGATTGTAGGGATGGTTTTTCTACCCTAACTCAAGCAGATACACAACTTGTTCTGTGTTGATCATCCACGAATTTTCCGCAACAACCAATCCTTCAAAATCCAGAGTCTTTACATATCAGCATTGCCAATAGCAATAGGACCCAGTGTTTTAAAAATGCAAGGTATAAGAAAATCTCAAGGGTCTTCTAGTGCCTGAGGCAAAAGGCTCAAGGTGAGGTGTGTGTTTTCGATGCAAGGCACAAGCATTTGAAAAAATAAAAAATATAAAAGCCTATTAGCTCAAATAACATATAAAACATATTCAAAGTAAAAAATGTGAAGGTGAAAGCAAACATATGTGGATTGTACCAAATTGCTTCAAGCTGGAGGTCATCTGTGATCATTTTCAGCGGCCTAGGTTTGGTGTCCCTAGCACAACACCTTGATCCCAGCTTGGCTCACAATGCATGCAACATATGTGTGTGTTTATATTATTATATATTATTTATTATGTAATAAATATACTATATATTTATTACAGTATAATGTCCATACTTGTCCTGGAGCCAAAAGTTAAATTAGAAATTTAGAATATATTAATAGTATCACCATTGCAAATGATGTCTTGTCCAAATATTTAATCCTTAATCTATTCATTGATTTAAGGCATTGAAGTACAGTTGAATGTCTTATCAACTTTTTGTAATGATGGGTAGTTCAAACATTTAAAAGTTTACAATAAAAATTTTCAAAATGTAAATCAGACATTAAAACATCCTTTCATCATTTTACCTTTTTCTAAATTTAAATCACATGTAATTAGAATCTAAACACATGTATTTAAATATAAAATTTTCAAAAAGCTGAAATCTGAAGGCATTTAATCATAGGCCCAGAACTAGGCCAGGCCTGTGCCTACCCAGGACCTGGCCTTGTATTTCAGGCCCAGGGTCTGGGCCAGGGTTCAAAGCCCTTAGCAGAGGTGCTGGGCTCAGCCTGGCCCATGATCATTCAAACACTCAATAATTCAAGCATGATGTTAAAAATGCATTCCTAAGCCTAGGAGATCAGCCCTTCACATCCCTAAAAGCCCCTTGAAGCAAAAGTCAAAACAAGTTCATGTGGGGGTTTGGGACAGTGCCCCAATCCCCAAACCTAAACTTTTTCCCCATATAAATTTAGTGGTTGGTTTTTTATTTTAGTTGCAACTCATTCCATTTTAGGATTAAATTTGAATATTAGCTGCATTGTAATGCTTTTTAAGTGAAAAGTTTGCAATTTGAGAGACTATTTGCAAGAACTAAGGCTTTAGGTTGTAGGAATACTTACTTTTTTATTTATTTTTATGTAATGACGAGTATAATTGTAATCTTCTTTTTAAACACACAAGTATAAATATGAAAGGGTTTGTGCCAACCTTATTTGATCAACCTCTTCGTTGTCTCTTTTCTCTTCTCTATTCCTCTCTCTCATTCTCTCTTCTCCTTCCTTCCTCCTTACTTCTTCCTTCTCTCTCTGTTGTTAATTCTACATGGTAATAAGAGCGATAGGACTCAGATTGGTTAACTAGTAGTTCTCTATGAAAATCAACCAAGTCAGTAAGTGATTGGTGGTTAAAAGAGGGAGCAGCAGGGTATCAGCAGCTAGTATAGAGGTCTTTACCCCTTAGTCAACATGACTTAAGAAGAATTTTGAATATGATCAAAGGCTAGAAGAGATCATTTTCAGCCTGGCCCAGAAATATCGGGCTTGGGCCTAGAGGTGCAAGGCAAAAACCTTTTTGAAACAAGGCAAAAAATTTTAAAAAAAAATCAAAGAATATGCAAAAAAGTTGCAAAAAAATGTAAAAACTCAAAATAAATGAAGAAAATATTAAAACTAATATTAATTACAAATGCAGATTGTAATATTTTAAAAGCTTATTAGCTCAAATTAAAATACATAACCATAACATATAAAACATATCAAAAGTGAAAATGCAAACAATAAAATCAAACATAACATATAAAACATATTCAAGTATGTCAAACACTCAAATTTTCAATTTCTTTATTTCTTTCCTAATTGCACTATTTCAAATAGATAATACGATGTTAAATATGTTTCATTCCTAATTCTACGAGGAGGCAAGCCCAAACAAATCCGTGTTAGGGTCTTAAGTTCTTAATCCCTATAAAGAAAATGCTTTTATCTTTTAGAAAATATTTTTCATTAGAAAAATGAAGAGGGGGTAAGAAAATATCTTCCTACCTATCCAAACAAGATGCTCATTCTAGAGGCTAAGATCTAGCTTCCCTCATCAAATGAAAAAAAAAGGGGGGCCCTCACCTCCGCCATCTGTCTTGCATCCATCCAACCACCATATTGGAGTCTACTTCAACTTTCAGTCAAAAATACATAAGAGAGAAGCTTAACCTCATACCAATGTTTTAAAGCGCAGAGGCGTGACACGAGGCATTCCACTATCTCGAGGCATGAGCCGTAGTTCAGAATGTAAGAGGCATAAGCCTACTTAAGAGGAGGGGGTAAGGAGGAAGGAGGGAGGAGGAGGGAGAAGAGGAAGGAGGATCTCATTTTTCTTTATTTTTAATAAAAATCTTTTATATTAAGAAAAATGAAGATGCATAGCACTAGTTAAAAGGGGGGTCTTGTCAAAGGGGTCCAGGGGCTTAGCCCCCAGCCCACTATATTTCCCCTTATCTTTTCTTTCCTTCCCTTTCCTTTTATTTTCTTTCTTTATCTCTTTTTTTCTTCTCTTTCTTTCTTTTTCTTTCCCTTCCCTTTCTTTTCTTTTCCTTTCCTTTCCTTTTTTTCTTTTTTCTTTCTCTTTTGTTTTTTCTATCTTTTTACATAAGGTGTGCATGAGGCGCATAAGGCATACGCCTCTAGCATGCCTGACGCCTCATGAAAAAAGCGTATGAGGCGTATGCCTTAGAGGGGTCAACGCCTCTAGCATATGCCTTACAGCGTCTTGGGGGCGCCTCCAAGGATATGCCTCCCACACCTTTTAAAACACTGCCTCATACTTTGTTGGAGGAAAAAAAGCTCTAGCTGGAGTCACCATCTCCTATGAGACCCAACTACACCAGCATATTCTGCTACAAAACCTCCCTTTTGTAGTAAAACCCTTTACCATACTTACCATATTCAGAGTTCTAAAGACTCATTCAATATTAATTTGCACTCCAGCATTCACTCACTCTTCACCCAAAAGAATAAGCAAGCAATGTATGGGCAGAAATAAGGCCAGCGGACTTTTTCTCTTTTTTTCTTTGTTTTTTGGTGAAATGTTTTGACTATGTTTTCTTTCATGATATTTTAGTAACTTGTAGGGGATAAATAAAAGTAGCCTCACCATGGAGGAATTGGATAAAAGTAGTCTCACTTGTAGGGGATAACTTATAGAGAACGAACTTTGGGGAGAGGTGGAGGAATTGGATAAAACATAAAAGTTTGTGTTTCTTCTCCTTCTTTCTCTGTGTTGGTGAATAGGGCCTCTTGTGGGATATTTCGGAGTTCAAGAGGATTGAGACAAGGGAACCCTTTGTCTCCCCTACTGTTTATCTGTGTGACTGAAGCTCTTTCCAAATTGGTGGAGAGAGCATGTTCAGGAGGGCTGATGGAAGATTATTAATTCGGGAAAAGTGAAGTTAAGGTTTCCCTTCTCCAATTCATAGGTGATACTTTGTTTTTCTATGATGCCACTTGGGAACAGCTAGAAGTTGTCAAAGCAATCTTGACATGGTTGGAGGTAGTGACTGGTTTGAACATCAATATATCCAAGAGTGAGATATTGGTTGTGGGGACAGTTGAAAATTTGGAGTGGGCAGCAAAATGGGGATGCAATGTTGCGAAACTCCTTACAAAATACCTTGGTTTGCCACTTGGTGACAACTGCAGACCAAAAGCTATTTGGGATTCCATAAAGTTGATAAGAGGCTAGCTTCTTGGAAGACAAAGTATCTGTCAAAAGGAGGTAAAGTCACTCTAATAAAAAGTGTACTTTCTTCCTTGCGAGTTTATTACATGTCCTTGTTGCCGATCCCAATGAACAAAGCAACACTTTTGGGAAGAAAATGAAGGATTTTTTGTGGAGAGGGCAGAAGGAGGAAGATAAATGTCATTTGGCTAAATGGAAGACAGTCCACAAATCCAAAGATCAAGGGGGCCTAGGCATCAGATAATTAAAGGAAGTCAACATAGCCTTGCTAGGAAAATGGTTATGGAGGTTCAATTATCAGTCAGATAGCCTTTAGAGGAGGCGAATCTTAGCCAACTATGGCCCTAGCGCTAGAGGTCGGATAGTCTTTGACTCACTTTTCATGAAGGGAATAAAGTACGAAATTGGTAACGGGCAAAGGGTCCTTTTCTGGAAAGATCAATGGTGTGGAGATGGCCTCCTTAAGGACAGATATACTGACCTCTTTGAAATTGTTGTAGACAAGAATTCAACGATGGCAGACTACTTGGTTAGGCAGAACGGGGGATGTGTTTGGAATCCCTAATTTAGGAGGAATCTGAACGATTGGGAAGTGAGTTCTCTAATAAATTTTCCGCAGACTTTACATAATGCTCAATTAAATGGAACTCTGGAGGATAAAGGGAAATGGATTTTTGAGAATTCAGGGGTTTTCTCTTACAAATCTTTCTACAACAACCTGACAAGGGAGGAAGACTCTGAGTTCCCAGGCAAGAAGATCTGGTTCAGGAGTGTACCATCGAAGTTGGCTTTCTTTGTGTGGTCATCAGTGCAGGAAAAAATATACAAGAGAAAAGTACAGAAACTACAAAACATCTTCTGATTCACTGTGAGTTTGCTCAATGACTCTGGGGGTAAATATTGGAAATATTTGGGGTAAAATTGTGTTTTCTGGATGATGTGAAGAGTTTCATGTTTGCTTGGTGGCAAGGGTTTAAGTAGGGCTGGAAAAGTGGTCTGAAGCATTATTCCCACAGCAGTTTCCTGGGTAGTTTGGTGTGAAAGAAACGTCAGAATTTTTGAAGGGGGTCAAAACTCAAAAGAGGAGGTTCTCAAAACAACATTGGGCATGTTATACTCGTAGTTGGCTAAGCACTCTCTGTTCAAAACAAGACATAGTGACACACAAGCTCTTTTTTTGATAGGGACTTTCTTTTGGACAGTTTTTTGTAATTTCTTATTGGACGGGTTCTTTTTATTTTGGGCTTTGGGATCTCCCCTAGTACAGATTCTCATTGTACAGGGGTTTGGGATGATTGTTAATCTTGATCCTTTTTGATACACAATACAATACTTTACCTTTTTCAAAAAATAAATGAAATAGCCTCACGTCATGTGAAAGGAGATCTTATAGTTGTCTCCATGTCTACAGGTTATAGTTCAATTTTTGTTCTAGCACTTATGACTAGAAAAAGAAATACCTAATTCAAATTGACCAAAACATCGCATTTTTCATTTTTTTCTCTAATATTAAATTTCCCATTTCTACATATTAGTACGAACTTTATTATAATGGTGGAAAATTTGCAAAAAGATCCTAATTGGGAAACTTTTGGAGTATCTAGAGTTCTTCAAAAAGTATGCTACAGGGTACAAAATTTAAAAATTCCATCATCTATTCACCAGGAAGTGCACACCATTTAGAAGTTTCAAAAGCAATACCGGCATTGAGAAGTAGAGAGAGGCAGTATTCTGTTGTTGGTAGAACAATCACATGAAACTAACTTCAGTCCGAGGTTTGAGTCGTTTGACATCTAAGGGGAATCCAAATTGAATAAATGCCTAACAGGATTTCAGAATAGTACCAAAACAACGCATAAAAGATGAACCCAATTCCCAATTCTAATTCCATCAAACGGTTCCACAAATTATGAGAATAGGAAAGAAATTGGAAATAGCTGAGTAGGGCACACAGACCATAAACCATGTATCAATTTCTTTTTGATTTTGCCTTTTCTCTTGGATTGGGTAGTCTGCTGTTTGAGTGTTTATTAGGTTATCGATAGAAGACGGGATCGAAAGACAGGGCTGTGATATCAACACCCAAACACTTCCAACTCATAACAAAATAAGCTTCTTCTGCACTTGCCAATTAAAGTTCTAAAGGCCCACGAAAGGAAAAACCCTAGAGCACTAAACATAAAGCGCAAGAGAAAGCTCCAAGACAACACCTGATTTAGAATGAAGCTCTTGCCCTGGCGAGCTCGACCGCAAACCGAGACGACCCCAATAGGCCCTTTGACGAGCTGAAGCGTAGCGACAGCCTCAGGGTCCATCCTGAATTTGCCTTTCTCATCGCAATAGACGAGACGAACTGGCCGGGCCGGGCCCGTTGCGACCACTGTCGAGGAAGAAGGAGAATGAGGGAGTGATTGAGGAGAAGTATCGATATTGTCCTTAGAGGCAGACGAACTGCCTCTACCCCATAACTTCTGCATCATCTTCTCTCCACCGATTTTTCCACTTTCGTGCTCGCTCGCTCGCTCTTCTTCTCTTCTGTGCTTTATTTTCTCAGTGGAGTGTGTTTTATTCAGGAAAAGGAAAAGAGAGATCTCGAAAGGAGTGAGATTTTAAAATGGCGGAGGGAAGTTGCCAAGTTGGAGAGATTTTGCTTCTTTATAAGAGAGACCTATTTCGTGCAGTCCATGTATTTGTTGTCTTCATACTGTTATTACATAATTACCCCTAGTTGGGGACCTTGATGTGATTTTTCGCGGGGTCTCTGGTTCAAAAGATGAGGGTGTCTTTGGCAGTCCGAAAAAAGCGGTTTGAACGACACCGTAGTTATGAAGCAGGCTCACGAGTCACTCGAGTCACCACCCACCCGTCACGACTCGTAGCCCCGTAGGGCCGTAAGGCCCGTAACGGACGAGTGTCAGCTGAACATTAAATCACAAAACCGAGGTCCAAGCCCAGAATTTATCGGCCGGGCCACAAATTAACTCCCCTAATTAAATGGTCCGAATTCCGACCTATCACATTCGTTCACATCATCACTCACGAGATGGAACAGTGAATGCTGAATTCTGTATCAATTTATCCACTTGAAGTGGACCAAACAATCCAATCAATGAACCAGTGAACGAATGAGTTTTCGAGTTCAAATCAGTCCCCCATTCCACAGCATATTTTTGCCGTATATTGGGAATATTTCCCGATGATAATATCAGGAATAATGATATCATCATCCGGAGATGTTTCAATACATGGTGGGGATGTGGTGTGGGACGTAGTGGGGGGCTGATTAGGTCTCTAAGTTTTCTAGGTCCAGTTTTTTGATAATTTTTAGGGCCCATCTGATTCACAATCGGAATCATAATTGGAATGAAAATCCCTTAGAATTGGATTCCAAATGGCTATTTCCCCATCTGTTTGAATTCAAACGGAATCAGAATTGGAATGGGGTTCTCATTCCCAAGGGAGGAGGAGTGAATGACCATCTATGTTATTATATCTATCCATATTATTATAAAAAGTGCTAATGAGGGTGTGAAACTTTTCTTTACTAAAATGCCCACATTTGTTATTTAGTCCGTCCCTAATTATGACGATTGAAAAGGTAATTTTAATTAATGTTTTTCACCTCATTTAATCCCCTTCATTAATTCTTGTATTTAAGTTATTAACTCACATTCTCTCTTATTAAATTCCATATTTAAATTAATTTTTCACTAATAAATGCTACTAATTAGATATATGTCTAATACTTTTAAAAATATAAACCAATATATTTCAAAACTTACTCAAAAAGAAAATCATTTTTTATCCCTGTGATGACTAAGCAATTCAACTATCCAAATCAAACAGGCCAACCCACGAAGTCATAGTTAGATAATACAATTTTTAAATAGAAATGAATATAAAAAATTACAAAAATGTAGAAAAATACACATTTATGATATTTTTATTGATGATGAAAATGAAATATATAATCTAAAACTAACAAAAAATGAAATTATTTGTCTTATTTGGCAAAGATCAATAGTCCAACTTTTGGGTCAAATCTATCAACATTGAATGTCATAATTAAATAATAAAAATTAATAAAATATAAAAAACAAACAAAATATAAAATATATAAATTTTACAAAAACAAACATTTTGGCACATGTATAATATCATATATTTACATATTAAACAAAAATAAGCATAAATAACAGTATTATTTTTACACACATGGAAATAAAAAATTATAGGAAAAATTGAACACATCTAGAACTCCATATTTACATTACTATTAAAAATATGAATAAAATCATAGAACTTTCTTCTAACTAAAATACCCATTTTTTGAATTTAATCCATATTTAGTTGTGAGGTTTAAAATATAGTTTGAACTACAATTTTCACATCATTCAATTCCCCCTCTTTAAATCTTATAGTTTTTTTGTAAATAAACAAAAAAGTATACACTAGGAAGATAAAACATTACAAAAAGAATAGTCCATCCAAATAGATAGGCCTACCAATGTTACCCAAAACTTTGTAGCCCAATATGAAGTGTTTAAATAATCAGATCCAAATTCTGCAGTATGCATTTGATTAATAGTGAAAAACAAAAAATAAAAAAAAATACATAAATTTTATATAAAAATTTGGATACATTATTCCTATCATTATCATCATCTAGAATTGTCACGTGCACGCTTACTAGTTCTCTTAAATGAGGGAATGTCATTCCACCAAGAATGAAAATCAGATTGAGTCCACCCAACCAAATGATTAGTCCAATTCTGATTCCAAACCATTATTCCCATAAACCAAACAGAGCCTTAATTTTTACATGTTGAAGGACTGGTCAGCTTTTTTCAGTTTTATATTTAATTTTACTGCCATTTTTAGTCTATCATACCATTTAACGGTATTAAAGTTAATTATTCTATTAAATAATCACAAAAATGACAATATTAATGAAGGAAAAATCTTTAAAAAAGATAAAATTAATAATCCTTGAAAAAAGAAACCAGAGTCAATGGACTTCTCGGATTGATTGAAAACTTGGATGGTTAGTATCAAAATGGCTGCAATTCATACCAAGATAGGTTTGGGCAATGACAGCCCATATCCAGGCAGTTTGGATTTGGCCAGGCCCAAAGTCAGTCCAAGCCACTCTACTTATATGGCTTAGAAGCTAGCCCAGGCCGGCTCAAACTCAGACAAAATTATGGTGTCATTGATTTATTAACTGTTCGTATAGTCGGAACTTTATGCACATATAGTTGTATCGAGTGAAGCTTCGTGTTGCTTTTACAGGGTTGGTCTGTCTACCGAGCTAAAATTAACTTTTGCCTTATATGATTGACAGTTGAGAACAAGAATTATGTCCTTATGAGGTCAAATTTGTAATTCTATATATTCGAAAAATGTAGCTACGGAATGCGGAAGCCGTTTATTTATTTATTTTGAAGGCTAAAATTATATTTTCATTCATCCAAGAAATTGATACAAGTAAATAGAATTGCCAATAATGCCGATCAGAGCCCAAATACAATTTCTTAAGAAGAACAAAATATATAAATAGAAATGGGTGAATAAATGAATTTTTGTAACCCAACAAAGGTGAAAAAATCACCAACATAAGTGGAAAAGCATAACTCCAATCCACCACAAACGCGTGAGAGAAAAGACAATAGATGTTCCCAAAAGAGATTGCAAGAGCCGGTAATAGCATGGTTGGAGTAGATCCACAAAAGAGGACAGAGCCCCAAACATTACAATCGATACCAAATATTGTAACTGCTTTCCAATACGGCATTCGCTGAAGAACTGCAAATGGAACTGACCATGAATTGCTTCTGTCGGAGAATCATGAATGGACTTAACCATAGACAACAAAAACGTAAAGCAACACCCACCAGTATCAAAAGGCCAATACAGGATCCAAGATCAAGTAACCCCTTTGTCAAAGCACCTACAAAAAGAAGAAAAAAAAACAAGAAAATAAATGAGAGAATAAAGGAAAAGGGGGGACTCCAAGAAGGGAGTCACCCCAACAGAGAGATTGATAGAGCCTCGAGAAACACGAGAGAGAAACTCTCTCTAAACAGAGAGAGGGAGAGGGAATGATTGTGCGACTTGTAGAGAGATTTGCAAGTCGTGACTTGCAAAGAGGGAGCGGTTTCAAACTATGGGGGGTTTCAGAGCGTGGAAATCTGCTCTACAGCCATTTATTTGACCTGGCTGGGGTTTCGGTCAAATACATAAGAGCTCCTCTTATGTTTACCTATAATTTGCCATCAGCGTTATTTTTTTTTAAACCATAGGGGTGAGCAAAAAACGAAAACTAAATTGACTGAAATCGAACAAAAAAATCAGTTAATCGAATCGGTCGATTTGGTTTTGGTTCGGTGTTTTAAAAAAACCGAAGGTATCGATTCGATTTTGATTGACCAATATAGAAAACCGGCAGTTAACCAAACCGATTGGTATACATATATTTATATATATATATTTATATATATATAAATTAATAAATATGCATTATATATAAATATATATTTATTATTTAAAATATAATATTATATATATTTATAATTTTTTATTATATATATATACTTTTATAATATATAATGTAAAAATTAAAAAAAAAAGAAAAACTGACAATTAGCCGGTTAACCGACAAATTTCGATTCAATTTTGGTTACCAATTTTCTAAAAACTGGTACTACCAATTCAGTTACAAAAAATACCCCACAGTTCAATACTAGCACCACACTAGTAACCCCTCCTCAAAGTCGGTGGTTACAGGAACCGAATCCACATATATTGAAACAAATCAGTTAATTTACCAATTGAGACACCTTGTATTTGGGGGTGATGATATTTAGTCCCCCAATTTGGGTGCTTAGATCGAGGCCTACTCCAACCATGCATTGGGTTGGGCCAATTAAGTTTGGACCAACCCAAGTTGGGTTGGGGGGGAAGTGGACTGACATGGATTGAAATAATAATTTGCTGGTCTGAATTAGTAATAACATGCTTCCATGTGCGAGAGATGTAGGATAGGTGTTTTATTACGTGAGAATGAATTAGCCGAATTTGATAGTTGTTTTATGGTGTGCAATTAATCATTTTGGGGTAAAATATAAAATCCTCCCCTGAAGTTTATGATAATCATAAAAATCTCCCTTATAGTTTCATTTTAATAAATACTTTCCCTGAACTTTTGAGAAATTCAACATAAACCTCCCTTCCGTCACATTCCTAGACAAAAAAACATTAGACTGATGTACCAGTATCTTCCAAATACCCATTCTACCATTTTATAAATTATTTTACATACAAAAGTACTGAATAACCATGTTTTCTAACTCGACAAAAACATTAGAAGATGATTGTTAAAAGGAGGTCTTTGTCAAGTAAAAGATAGGGTTATTTTAGTAATTTTATATATAAAATAATTTATAAAAGGTTAGAATGGGTATTTGGAATAAATTGATGCATCAGTCTAAGTTTTCTATCTAAGAAAGTGATGGAAGGTAGGTATTTTTTTTTCAAATTGCTCAAAAATCCAAGGAAGGTATTTGTTAAAATTAAACTATAGAAAAGGTTTATAATTGTCAAAAATTTCAGAGGTGGGTTTTGATGC